CCCACCCCGTACAGTTTGCGTGGTGATGTGGGCTGGGCTCAAGTTTAAATATTTGAAGAGATGATCTCGGACGCCGGAACGGGTGCATGCGGGCGTCGAGCGAGAGCGCGCTGAGCAGCGCGGCGTGAGCGTCGCCCGCACGCGGGGCAGTTCCTGCTCGTGATGAGCGAGATCCGAGCAGCCGTGCACGACGTTGCACGCACGCCGCCGACGCATGGCCGCCTCTCCGCGCGCCGCGATCGACGGGTGGCGAGCGCGGGAACGGTCACGCTAAAACGGTCGGCGTACGCAGCGCGTCATGAGCGTCGCCCTTATGGGGCAGATCCGCCTCGTGATCGACGAGGTCCGAGCTGTGTACGACGTTGCAAGCCACCTGGCGAGCCACGGCCGCCTCTCCGCGCCGCCGCGGCCGACGGGCGGCGAGCTTCGAGCACGTCACATAGTAAGAAAGGACGTGCACGCACCTCGCAGAGCGAGGCGAGCGAAGATCGGGAATCAAAAAGTGGCTTTTCTTGCGCCTGCGCGCGTTCTCTTTAACAAGCCATCGCGCGCGGGCGGGCATCGCCACCAGCCCGAGTTCGAGCTCTGGAGGTAACGCTACCGACTGCAGGCACTGGCATTAAGTCGACCGAAAAGCAAAATCGTTTTTAAATTTATTCTAATTTGTGAACAAAGGCAACCTCTTCTATCGGTTCAAAACGTACCAGATGTACCCCAATACATCTCTAAAAGCTAGTCCAGCTACCAGTAGTAGCAGCTGAAGTGCCCCCCTATAAAGGTCGCGCCTATCGCAGTCGTCAAGCTCATCATCAGTGCCCTGACCGTGCTTCGAGACGGTGCCTTCTCGGTGCTCTTGCGCTTGGGGACCTTGGCCTGCGGCTCGCCGAGAAGCACAAGGAGCTTCCACCCGGTAGAAGGAGCCCGGCCTGGCTTGTCCCTGCCGAACTGTCTCTGGTGTAGCGCTTGAGCGCTCTAAAGAAAGCAATTATTTACAAACTCAAATTTAAATGTATCCAGAACTCAGTGAACTCACATTTCAAAATATTTAAAAGTTCATTACCGGCTCCGAGCTTGGCGGTGGCCTCGGCGGCAGGCTGGGTGGCGGACCCTAAACAGTGTCAAGATAGTGTGTTCACATCTGGAGGTCGCCTAGGAACGCTACAGCACTCCGCGGAGCACCACCAGAGCGCTGCGGAGCGCGTGGAGCCAATGAGAAAAAATTACCTGAATTTTTTTGCTTGGACGCTTAGTTTTCTAGGACGATTTAAGTGAATATGGTGTTGAATTTCAAGTTTTGGGAACCCGGCCGTCTACGCCGCTGGGACTCGGATCCCAGCCACGCCGCGCCCGGAAGTAAGGCCGATGGGTTGTAGGTGGCCCTTGTGCTTGCAGGGGGTGCTCCACAAGCTCGCCGTGTCACCTCTGAGGCGCGCAGGTGCGACCATCGCGCCCTTGTTCACATGGGACGGGGGACGATCAGGGGCGATAAGGCGGCATTCGGAGGAGAAGGGCACACAGCTCGCTTATGAAGTGCGGTGGTGCGGGACGTGGCAGCGGTGGTCGAGTATTTCCCGGGGTTGAGACCCGCGCCCTCGCCGTTGATTGGCTGGGCGCACCCGCTGATCGGACTGCAGTCCCAAGCTTCAATATCTATAATTTCTTCCGCCCACGTCTCTCAACGCCGTCGGTTCATAACGACGTCACTCTCGCGAGTGAATCCGCCGTGCCAGCAGGTCAGAGCTAAACAGCACTCGATCATGAACGGCAATATGAGGATGAATTGCAGAACTCAACCAGGAAACTCCATGAACGGCCATAGGAACATGAAAATACTGCATCCCATCCGAACTGCAAAGTCAGGCATGTTACCGTCCGGGTAGTAGTGCGGTCGGGGACGACGCGCGAAGTCCGGATGCTGTTCTTTTGCCGTCTCACACTTCTGTGCCCCTTTCGATTCGGGCCGCCGCCTGTCCTTTCCGATAGACATCCCTACTTACATACTGCTCTGGCGGGTCCTCGCATTCCTCCGCCAGAAAGTCCTGTTATAAGCCGCCCGCGGGCGCAGGGGCCAGGCGCGGGGCCAAGCTTAAGTTAAGCTGTATGTATGTATGTATAAATGTATGTATATATCAGCTCCCCACTTCGGCGTAGCGCGTAGGAGCCTGCGTCGGAGCGCTAAGATCAGCCTGACTTGAACTTGAAACGTACCGCCAGCCCGAACCACCCTACATTAATATACATATACATGTACTACAATCACTACGGAGGTGGGCCTGGGCCGTACATAAAGCTTTCTTTTGTTCGTTAGAAGATGTGAATCAATCCTTCGTGGTTAATACCCATCGTAGCCCCTGTGCTGCACGAGCGTGCATAGGACACGTCATTCTAAAATTATAACTAAATTAGGTTTCGGTTCCGTCAAAACAGGCTTATGCAAGTAAAGACACCAAATTAATTAAACAAGGGAAATTTAGTTTATATTCCGAATCCGAATCGCTAAGTGCAACATGTCAGCTAATTGGCGCAGTGGCAGCGTGTCGGGCTCATAACCCGAAGGCCGATGGATCGAAACCATCATTAGCTAATACTTTACCTTTTCTCCCTATGTCCATGTGTGATATTTTGCCTTTTATCCCAGTCTCCCGGGCCACATAATCTTGCCGCCTCCCTTTCCTCCTTTTACCATGTGCCTCTCTCTCTCACTTCCACCCCCTCTCCCCCCTTTTCTTCAAACCTTTTGTCAGCGGAGGTCCATACAGAGTGAGAGTAGGGCCGGGCAATGTCACAGGATTTGGAAGCCCCGGAGCGCCAGCCCCGAGTGCGGAGCCCCTGAGCGTGGTGCCCTCGAGCGCCCGAGCGCGGCAGCCCCGAGCAACAGACGGATCCCTATCTTTCAGTTAGTTATTGAGCAATGCGGCAATACTGAGGCACAACTCGGCAGGTGCGAGTGTGTGCGCCTTCGTCCGCAATCAGCTCACCGTCGGGATCAGCCCCAATCTGAGTCGCCCGACGACGATCCAGACGATCTCTCCGTTGGCGCGTCGGTGAAGCAGGCCATCGCGGGCTGCGACGCGGTACTCTGCCTGGCGGGCGGTGATGGCGGAAGGCTGTGCCCCGGGCGCACGAGCGCGCGGCTCGAGACGCCCGCCGAGTCGGCGCTCCCCGCCATCTCCGGCAATCTGTTTCTTGCCATCATCACGCTCCTCGACGACACCGACCTCCCGCGCGCCCGGCTCGTGTGGGCCTTCCGCGTGGACTTCCTCCGCACGCGCGCGCTGGCGGCGTTTACATGGGAGCGCATCCCCAGCTTCGTCATTTTCCTACCTAGAATGATGGCCCTCGCTGCGTCTGTTGGCTGCGTGAGCGTGTTCGAGGAGCAGTTCGACAACCGACAGTGCGTGTAAATATCAAGATTAACGTCCGTCACCTGACAGGTCTCCACCTGACCTAAGCGTTGGAGATACACTCGGATCAAGGGACCTTAGCAGATCACATGGATACCGTCCCCACCGCTGAATATAACTCCGTGCAGAGGGACGGGCGGGTGGCATCTTTGCACTAAGTGCCCCCCTTCCGTGCGAACTCGATGCACGGGCGTCCACAGGCACAGGGGCGTGCATGTCTGCTGCGGAGAAGGGGCACCTGGGCGCACCAATCTCGCGGCTGCCCGTGGCAAAGCTTGACTTGCGACTTTGCTGCTGATGTGGAAATTTTGAGGCACGGCGGTACGCGCACGAGCACGGCTACCCGTGGTGGGCGTGGGAGAGCGACACCTGATACGGTACTGCTCGGGGAGGGCCTCGAGGTGCTGCGGTATGCGCACGAGCACGGCTGCCCATGGGACAGCAACACTTGATACGGTGCTGCTCGGGGAGGGCTTCGAGGTGCCGCGGTATGCGCACAAGCACGGTTGCCCTTTGCGGCCGAGTATCCATGCTGAGAGCGTGGCGTGTGGTGGCCATGGGCATGACGAGGTGGCGGAGTACTTCGCGCGCAGGAGTATTACTGTAGGGCATAACTTATTAACTACTGCAGCACGCAGCGCCCGCCACGCACGCTGTGGCCGCCGATTGACCTCTGACAACTGTGAACAGACACTCAAGAGGATGATTGTGGTTCATTATTAAGCCGGTTCTTAGACGAATGACTCGAGTCAAGAGAAGAGCTATATATATGGGCACACTACCGGAGATCCATCGGCACGCGCGGTGGCGCCCAAGCCAGCGCAGCCGACTAAGGCACGCAGCAGGCAATGGGCGACGCAGCGCTCAGACCAGCAAAACATTCAGAACAGTCAGACGCCAGCTTGAATCCCTATTAGTAATATATATGTATA